CAGAAGAGCTGGCAGAGGCCATTGCTCCTTTGGAGAGCCCTCCCCGCACACAGCCGGCAGGCAGGCACCATATTTGAATCGCTAGCACCTGACTCACCCCTTTGGCCCCGCCCCGTGATTCCCGGAGGCCCCGCCCTCCCCACCTGCAGGCTCATCCAGGCCATTTCCAGGGGCTTTTCTGTGCAAGTGGCCTCTCCAGCCTCATGCTTACGACTTTCCTAAAATCTCTCAAACAAGCAGCAGCGGGCCCCATAAGGCTTGATAAGTGACCCTAGGCCTGGCACTAGCGGCAGCTGCATTGGCTCACAGCTTGGCCTCTCCTGGGCATCTCTAAGCCCAGGACAAGGAGCAGCCAACTACGGTTTGCTGTGTAGCTCATGCTGGGTGGCCCTGGGCAAGGCACTGGCACAGGCTGACTGTGCACCTCCCCAGAGGCCCCAGAGACAGTGCACCTGGTGCACGCTGGATTACAACCCTACCACATCCACGAGGGACACACTCAAAGGGCGCACTTGGTGAACACCGAACCTCCACTGAAGTAAATCCTGCTCCACAGGGGTGTCTCCAGCACAGCAGCTCTTTGGCTGTACCTGCAGCTGGTCCTCACAGCCGATTGGCCTGGAGGTCAATTCCTCCCAGTGACGCCAACAGCAACCAAGACTCAACTACAACAGGTCAGAGCACACAGCCCACACAGGGGAGCACCTAGAAGGCCCAGCTCAGGGGACTGGGGAGGCTGAGCCACGGGACCCTACAGGACACCTACTATACAAAGCCACTCTACAAATTCCAGGAGACACAGCAGCTCTACCTAATACATAGAAACAAACACCTGGAAGCAGCCAAAATGCGGAGGCAAAGAAGTGTGTCACAAAGGAAAGAACAGAAGAAATCTCTAGAAGAGGAACTAAATGAAATAGATCCAAGCAAGCTAACAAATACAGAGTTCAGAATTTTGTTTATAAGGATGTTTAAGCAGACTATTAGGGAAATAACTGAGAAAATCGATAACATAATAAAGTACCAATTTGAAATGAAGGCCACAGGAACTGAAATGAATAATAATTTACAGGGAATCAACAGTAGAGTACAGGACACTGAGAATCAAATCAGAAATTTGGAACATGAGGAAACAAAAAACACCCAACCAGAAGAGCAGAAAGAAAAAAGAATCCAGAAATATAAAGATAGCATAAGGAGCCTCTGGGATAACTCCAAGAGACCCAACATTCGTATTACTGGGGTGCCAGAAGGAGAGAAAGGAGAGCAAGAAATTGACTTATTTGAAAAAGTAATTACAGAAAACTTCCCCTACTTGGGGAAAGAAATAGAATTACAAGTCAGGAAGNNACAAGGGAGCACCCATAGGACTGTCAGCTGATTTCTCAACAGAAACTTTGCAGGCCAGTGAAAGAGAGTAGCAAGAAATATTCAAAGTGATGAAAAACATGGAACTACAACCAAGATTGCTCTACCCAGCAAAGCTATCATTTAGAACTGAAGGTCAGATAAAGAGCTTCTCAGATAAGGAAAAGCTAAAGGAGTTCATCACCACCAGACCAGCACTACAGGAAAAGCTGAAGGGTCTTCTTTAAGAAGCAGCTAATGAACAAAAGAATCTCACGAACTAAATAGAGCCAGAGACATTGATGCATGCAACAGGCGATCATACTTCAGAAGAAAGAGGGAAGGGGGATAGAGGGTGGGAAGAGACTAACCAAAGAAGTTATATGCATATATGCATAGCCCATGGACACAGTCAATAATAGGGTGAAGGCCTGGGGAGGGGGTGGGAGCAAAGTGGAGGGGGTCAATTGGGGGGAAAATGGACACCCGTAATACTCTCAACAATAAATTTTTAAAAAATTAAAAATTTAAAAAAATAAAAAGCATGGGATCAGTATATCTACATTTAAGATTGAGCTGGCAGCCCAGGCCGGGTAGCTCAGTTGGTTAGAGCATCGTCCCAATACACCAACGTTGTAGGTTCCATCCCATCAGGGAGCATACAAGAATCAACCAATGAATGCATAAGTAAGTAGAATAACCGATTCTTCTCTGTCTCTCCCTTCCTCTCTCTCTCTAAAATCAATAGAGCCCGGCCGGGTGTGGCTCAGCTGTTGAGCGTCGACCTAGGATCCAGGCGATCGGGGTTCGATTCCTGGTCAGGGCACATGCCCGGGTTGTGGGCTCGATCAATGACTCTCATCATTGATGTTTCTCTCTCTCTCTCCCTCTCCTTTCCTCTCTCTGAAATCAATAAAGATATAGTTAAAAAAATAAATAAAAAATAAAATCAATAGATAATTTTTTCAAAAAAACAGCAGGCAAGCACCTGTTTAATGGTTCTCTGACACCCCTCGAGCCCCCCACCTACATGGTAGTAGGATCAGTGACCTAATTAAAAAGCAATGTAGTTTCAAGATTAGTCAGAATGTGGGGAAAATATCTGGGGGGCTCGGAAAATGATACCATACACAACTAGGTCCTGCTGGTGAACAAGGTGGCATTGTCATTGCATCATTTTCCTGGCCGTTTAACTCAGTTTTCTTCTGGCCTGATTAGCTGACCTGTGTAAAGTTCCAGATCACTCTCTACCCCTGCTCTAAGGATGGAAAAACAGCTTGGATCTGACAACTACAGGACAAACCAACTGAATTGGAGGCATTGTGCAGAGTGAACACATTGTATTAGGAAGGTGGGGAGAAGAAGGGTGCAGGTGAGGAGGCCTGCTACTGAGGACTAAACTCAGAGGCCAATGGGTACAGCACCTGGGAAGGGGCAGCCAGCCTCATAACATGGAGCAACCCTGCCAGCCCCTCTGCCCCTGGACCAGGGCCAGCTAGTACCTAGCAGAGACTCCATAACCCACTGTGTGTAGAGAACACACACAGGACACACCTGCCTCCTCCATGTCCACAACACAGTCTGTTCAACAGTGATTCTGGGCTTTGCGGGGCTTGGAACTTGTATGAGTTGACGGAAAGAAAAAAATACCAAGATGTAACTCTTGCAAATTTAACCAAAATGTATGATCATGTGGCCGTATAGCTGGGGCCCCTCCTAGGCATGTGGAAGGGACTTCAGTAAATGAGGGGCACTTAACCTTCAGCTTCATCAGCTTCATGACAAATCTCCATACAGCACCCCCGAGGCCAGCAGCAGGGGCCCTGTTATATTCCAACATCCAGAAAAGTGCCTGTACCCAGCAGGAACTCAATGTATGATGTTGAAGAACAGGCTTCAGTCGTCAACCACTGGAGATAAATATTATTTTATTTCCATACTCTATTGTGACATTTGCAGCACAAGTATTCAAATCCCATAAAGACATAAAACCCATATTCAGAGAATGTCCAGTATGCTTAGGAGATGCTGGGATGAGCATTCACGAGCCAGGCCCATAACAAAGGGAAACCAGCAGGGACTCAATGACACCTCACAGTAGCCACTTGTCTGACAGCCTGATACATGGACAATTCCAATGCCAGAAGCATACGAGAAGCAGCAGAAGAGCTGCCTGGATTAGAACCAGAGCAACAGACACAATGACTGCAACTCCCTAAGCCACAAGGCAGGTTTTCCTGTACCATAGGTCACTGTATCATTCTGACAGAAAATAAAACAACATGCCGAGACCCTGAAAAAACAAATCACTAGAGATAGACAGAAATTATTAAGAATTAAAACCAATTTGTAAAATAGTATCTAGAAACTCTGTGCCTGGTGTCAATCAGTAGCAAAGTCAACAAAATGAGTAAAAAATAAAACTTAGCCTAGTAAAAAGCAGTAACGGGCTCACCTACAATCACTACTGGTTAGCCCACATTAAGCTCAAAAGTGCCTTAAAACAGAAAACTACCATCACTGAGAGATTAAGAACGTAACTTCATTGAGAAGTCAATGTTAAACAGTTCATTAAAAGCTTCGTTATAAAAAACAAAAAACAAAAACTTTCCCAAATAGCTGTTTCAAGGAAGACACATGAAATACATGAAATGCATCCTCCTGTGCTCACTGCCGGATACCAAACAAGGACGCCAGAGAGAGCAGGGTGGAGGTCCCAGCCAGGGGTTTGCTGGAGGTGTACTGGATGACGTACTCTGGATAGGCTTGGTGTTTCTCAAAGATCACGAAGATAGAAGGGTCGGACATGCTGTTCACACAGCTGTCATAGAAGACACTGCCCTGGTCCTCCTTAGCTGGGGGGCGGACAAAGGTGGCATTGCCTCGGGTGAACTCGCCCACCAGCACCCGCGCCAGGAACATCGTGTAGAGCTTTGAGTCGGATTTGCAGTAGTGGTGGGAATACGCGGCATCTCGGGCAAAGTAGCTCCCTGCAAGGACATACACAGACTTAGTTGAGCACCAGGAGAGCTGCAGGTAGGGGTGTGGGTGAGGTGGGGGAGAGGCTGCAGCATCCTGCCAACAAGGCAATGCTGATGGCCCCTGTTCCTCCGTCACCACATCTCCCTCCATTCTCCCTCTTTCTCCAGCTTTCCCTCGTGAAGGGCATCAGGGGACACACCAAACCTCATAAGGTTGGTGTGGAAAGTGACCAAGATCTCATACATGGAACCACTCTACAAACACCGGCAGCCCAGTGCAAAGAATTATGAACCCCGTTCAACAGGAACCTGATCTGGAAGCTGCAACCTACACATCTGAGTTCGCAATCTTCCACTGGCTCTTGTCCATCCTGACCCCATAATCATCACATTGGGTTAAGGCTAACTGACAACTGAAACAGGGACCGCTGATTATGACATCATTATGAAATGTTTTCAATTTAGGAACCATGTTGTGATGACAGATGTTCTTTTTCATAGGAGATATTAAAAGGTGAAGGAGTATGATATATGCCACCTACTTACAATGGTTCAGAAAAAAATGGAGGGGGGGGTGATAAAGCCAATATGGCAAAATATTAAAACAGATGAATCTACATAAATGTATGCAGTTCTTTTAAAATACTATTCTTGCATTATTCCTGAGTTTGAAATTATTTCCAAATAAATTTAAAAATAACCAAGAGACGGAAAAACACTCAGATAACGCACTATATAACTAGAATGGCATATTTACATGAGTGTATCTGAGGTGTTCAGATTTCTAGTCTTACAAAATAGCACAGGCACAGGGTTGAGCAGACATCCCCTTTCCTCTCCCGACTCATGCTCACCATCTCCCGAGGTCTCCACTACACACAGACACAGGCCCATCTCTCAGGGAAGCAAAACCCCAGCCTAAGGCAGGACCACTCATGCTAACCCTTGGGTCAGGCTCTTGGTTGCACACAGACGAGTGAGAAGAAGAGTATCAATGGCTGGGCATCCCCACAGATAGCCAGGGCCATTCCTCACTAAGTATGAACCAGCTTATCAGCTTACACTGGCCTCCCCACTATCAATTGCTTTAAAATGGTATCCTGGGCCCTGGACAATGCAGCAAGGTTCTGCCGGTAGAGGTTGCCCTCACCCTTACCTTTGCCATAGGAAGTGCCATTAAGACCACAAATTCGCCAATCAAAATTCTGCTGGCAGATGGCGTCAACAATATTGGAGTTGGTACCATGGAACAGCTGCCTCTCATCTACCGCCTTCCCTCCATTTTTCTTCTGCATCTGCCCTTTTTGCCTAGAATCACAGGAGAGAAATGTGTGCTAGAGACAGAGGGCCACCAAATGCAGGCCACCAGACCCAAGAAAACACATTTTATCAGAAGTGTCATGAGGCCAGGAGACATCGATCCAGGTCCATGAGACTCCAGCCATGGGCCAGAGTGAGGAAAGGTAGAACACAGACCTGCATGAAAGCAGAGGGAAGCCTTTCCCTGCACAGATCTAGGCCTCCAGCAGCAACGTGAACTCCCAAAGCAGACCAGCCTTGGGAAGACAGGCTTGCTTCGTCCTTACCACCCTGCTTCCTTGTGGAGCTTATCCAGGGGAGCTTGAGGATGCTGCTCAGTGGGGAGCCATCTGTCTCCCCTCTCCCATAAGTTACCTGGATTTCATCACTGGGCCCACAGCACAGATGAGACTGCTCCGGCCCCAGGCCTGCCATGGTGACCTGCTACAAATCTCCTCCCCACGTGGACAACTGCGCAAGAACATGCTGGTCCTCAGGCACAAAAATGAGGCCCCTGCTCTCTGGCTGTCAGGACAATAGCTTTCTATTCTCCAAAGGATTTATACTGAACCATCCTGTCAATTTTTAGGGCAGAATACAAGTGGTGGCTTTGTCACTATGGAAGCCTCAGTCCCCTCCTCTCTGAGGGGACATATGGCACTAAGCTATAAAGATGATGAGATAAGAAAACAGGGACACAGTTCCCAATTCCAGCAGCACTGGGCAAGCAGTGGCTGCTATCTGGGATTGTCCCTGAAGCCCAGGGCACGTTTGGTAAGCAGCTAGCCTACTATATACAGGTGTGAGGGGACACGGTCACCAGCCTGCCAAGAGTGAGCCCCTGACGTACCACTGGTAGACTTCCCAGAGAGCCAGGTTCTGGACTCGCTCAATCTTCTCAACAAAGTAGTAGGGCAGCGTATTGTTAAAGAGACTGTATACCTTCTGATATTCTTCTGAGAAAGAATGGAGGGTGATCAACTGCAAGAGGCAAACATTTTTATTATGTTATCATCAAAGTGTAGAATATAGATCAATCTCTTCCCAAGGCTACTCATAAAATGCTACAACTGCAGAAGCAAGCCCAGACGGTGATTACCACTCTGCCCTTTGTCCCGAGGGCCAATCTCTCCAGGCACAAAATGTGTGCAATTTGTGTTCACTGTGAAAACTGCCTGAAGGACAGGTATGTGATGTTTGCATCAGCACCATTCTAGGTATCCCCAGGACGTCTCTGCTCTTCTGACCCCACACAAGGCAGACAACACAGTCCAAAAGCGCACAGAGTCAGTGTCAATAAATGTGGAAGGCACACATTAGGTTAGAAGGGACAAACGCTGTCATGGGCAGTAGCATTGTGTGAATGTCCCACACCACAAGCTCTGACGGAAGGGCCAGGCTGGCAGACAGGCACATGGCAACTCTGGAACATGGCCACTGCATCCCTCCCAGCTGAGCTTGCCTCTTCCTTAGCCCCTTGCTCTAGGAAACAGCACTTCTAATGGGCTGAAAGGGGCCCCTGACCAAGAGCAGCTGACTGTCATACAGAGTGACAATGCACAAATTCTTGCATTTGCAGCCTGGACCATATAATCAGCCTCCCTGTTCCCAGTGCCATAAGGCTTGACCCAGTGATAGACAAAGTGGGGATCTCTGGGGAGTCTCTCTACCATCCCCTTCCCCTACCCCTAGTAGAGCCTTATAATAACCACTTCACCACCACCCCAAAGACCCTAAATGTTCAGAGTCTGGCGTGCGTATTCATGGGTCTTCTGCAACCCAAATCCTGACTCTGGTTTCCCTGCTCCCACCTCATAGAAGCCGCCAAGCTCCTCTTCCTTAAGTATGAAAAACAGCCCTGTCCCTTCCAGATGAGATCCTCATGGGTTCCCATACCTGTCATGGCTGCTGATCAACTCCATGACCAAGGCGCTGCATAGCACAGCCCTGACCTCTCTCCTACTCCCCATGTCTATGCACACTCTCCATCCAAGACACACCTGACACCCCATGTCCTGACCTGGGCTGCTTCACATGCAGTTCCCATCAACCCTTATGTTCTCCCACCTCTGCCTGTACAAGCACCAGTCACTGTTTAGATGTGGAGCCAGTGCTGCCTTCCCTGATCTCAATAAGATCGCCTCATCCTCTGACATCTGAGTGCTGCTGTCAACTTACCCCACTTGTCACCCGTCTTGCCTGTACAAGCTTTGTACAGCTCAAAAAGATGAGTCCTTCCAGGGCAGTGACAGTCAGTTGTAAAAGCTGGTTTGCAACATGCTTGGCATGAAGTCAGCCATCAGAGGCCAGTTTGAGTGGGGCAGACCTTGGCCTAAGTACTCTACTGAATTCAGTGCAGCTCCCAAAATCTGACAAGCCCTAAAGGAGCTGCTGAATTGAGTGTTCCTTCTCTTGTATTCCATTATATAGCACATTCCAACAGAAATTTTCCCTCTAGATGTCACTCATCATACTCAGTGGTTTCTTTTCCTTTTCTTACTTAGTAAAATTAATATAATTGGCTGAGCCCAACTCTTAAGCTCCTTCCTGGAAAATTTCCAGCTCATTGTCCTCCATCCATAATACCATGGACCACAGCCATCTCCTGTGGTCTCTAGCCTTAAAATCCCCAAGACCTGAAAAAATAACCCCACACATACCTCTTCCCTTCTCCCTCACAAGCCCTGGACTCACAGTTTCTTCAGTGGTGAAGAAAACAACACAGTCACTCATACTCACCTACTTCAAAGAACACTCTTCCCCAGCCCAAGGCAATGTGAGTCCTATACCTTAAAGCCGGGGTCCGGCAAGGCTGAGGGGTCCCAATGGTCCGGGATGCTCTTTGGGCCTTGAAACTTGGCACTGCTACAATATGTAAACAAAAACATTAAGACATTTAGTTCTCAAACGCAAGCAGACTGTCACAGGTGGCCTCCACTAGCCAATACCACCCGTTTCGAGTCTCAGCATCTCATTTTGTAAAAGCAGGGAGGAGAGGAAGCACATGAGCACACTATCCACCTTGTGACAGCACTTTCCCCTTTGCCTAAACTGAAACAATGAGGCCTAGGGGATCCATTTCTCACCTATATCCCAACTCCTGCACATAAGGGAGAGAGAATATGATTAAAGCAACACACACAGACCCTTATCCATGATTTTGAAATTCAAAGAGCTCTGAATTAGTATTACAAATAGCCTTAAAGAGGGGTATCTGGTATATAAAAACATAAAACTAATGTCAAAATTCATTTGGCAATAGAAATTTGACTTGAACTGCCAGAGGGTACTTGTGGTCTCTATATATCTATCTTAAAGTGACTATGCATATTTTTTACTGCAGAAATATTAATTACAGGGTGTCACACAATACAAGCAGCACATGATCTTTCTAAAACTAAAAATAAATAAAAACTGAGTTCTAAAAGACATGTGGCCCAAAGGGTTTAGGAACAAGGATTGGGAAACTAATTCTAAATCACTGCTACTCAGTTTCAGAGTGCTCTTTTCTTCCTATACTAGATCTACCTTCTGTTTCTGCTGGCATGAGACTTTCATCCTAAGCCTCAAAGAATTCTCACAAATACTATTCCTAGGAAAATAGTACAGTTTAAAATAATTAAGCAAGGTAGCTCCCATGAGCAAGAATCAGCCAGAAACAGGCCCACAAAGAAGTTGCTAAAATTATCAGACACAGTATAAAACAACTATTATTTCTATGTTTAAAGAAATAAAAGACAAACTAAAAACATATGCAAGGAACAGAAAACTATAAAATGACCTGGAGGATCTGAAAAAGAACCAAACAGAACTTCTAGAAATAAAAAATACAATCCTTGATAGTAAAAGTTCAACGGACATGCTTACTAGCAGATCAAACCACCTGAAGAGACAATGAGTGAACTGAATGATGTGGGAAATAAAATTCCCCAGAATATGGCCCAGAGCAATAAGGAGATGGAAAATATGGGGAAGAAGCTAAGATATGGAGAAGGGAGTCAGAAGGCCTGAATCTGGTCAGAACCTAACCGAAATCCAAAGAGAGGACAGAGAACAGGATGAAGGCAATCTTCAAAGAAAACTAATGAGATTCACCAACTCATAGGATTAAGAAGCCCAAAGAATCTCCAACAGGAAAATTAAAACACATACAGAGACATACCATAGTGAGAATCTATAACACCAAGACAAACAAAAAATCTTAAAAGTAACCAGAAGAAAGAAAAGGGTGATTCAGGCAAAGAAGTGCCAGTTAAACTGACAGCTGAGTCTAGCCAGCATGGCTCTGCGGTTGAGCATCAACCTATGATCCAGGAGATTGAGGTTGATTCCCAGCCAGGGCACATGCCTGGGTTGCAGGCTCGATCCCCAGCAGAGGGCATGCAGGAGGGAGCCAATCAATGACTCTCTCATCATTGATGTTTCTATCTCTCTCCCCTTCCTTTTCTCTCTCTGAAATCAATAAAGACATATTTTTAAAAAACCTTACAGCTGATTTCTCAGGAGCAGCAATGAAAACCAGAGGACGGTGGAATGACAGCATCAATGTTCTAAGAGAAAATATCTACAACCCAAAATTCTATACCTAGTGAAAATATCTTTCAATATTGAGGGCAAAATAAAGACATATTTAAACAAAACAAAGTTTTCCTACAGTAAAAGAAACCATCAACAAAATGAAAAGACAACCCACTGAATGGGAGAACATATCTGCCAATGATACATCTGATAAGAGATTAATATCCAAAATTTATAAAGAACTTATAATATAAAAGTCAGCACCAAAAAAACAAATAATCCAATTAAAAAATGGGCAAAAGACCTGAGCAGACACTTCTCCAAAGAGGACATACAGATGGCCAATAAACATATGGAAAGATGCTCAACCTCACTAATCATCAGAGAGATGCAAATTAAAACCACAGGGAGATATCACCTCACACCTGTCCGAATTGCTATCATCAATAAATCAACAAACAACAAGTGTTGGCAAGAATGTGGAGAAAAGGGAAACCTTGTGCAGTGTTGGTGGGAATGCAGATTGGTACAGCCACTGTGGAAAGCAGTATGGAGTCACCTCAAAAAATTAAAAATGGAACTGCCTTATGATCCAGAGATTCTACTTCTGGGAACTTATCCCAAGAAACCTGAAACACTAATTCAAAAGAATATATGTACCCCTATGTTCATTGCAGCCTTATTTCCAACAACCAAGACTTGGAAGCAGCCCAAGTGTCCATCAGTAGATGAGTGGATAAAAAAGCTGTGGTACATTTACACAACGGAACACTACTCTGCCGTAAAAGGAGGGAAATTTTACCTTTTGGGACAGCGTGGATGGACCAGGAGAACATTAGGCTAAGTGAAATAAGCCAGTTACAGAAAAACAAGTACCATATCATTATACTCATATGTGGAATTTAATGAACAAACTGAACCACCAAGAAAATAGAGACAGACTCAAAGATAGACTCAAAAGCAGACAACTCTGGTGTGTGTGTTTGGGGGTAGCGGGGAGGATTGAGCAAAAAAGAGAGAACTCATGGACAACAGTGTGGTGATTGCAGTGAGGGGGGCAGTGGAGGCAGAAGAAGGCATAGAGGGAATAAATGGTGATGGAAAAAATAAATTTTAAAAAACACAGATGAATAAATGCCAACACCCAACAAAACAAAACAAACAAACCAACAAAAAAAACCCAGTTTTCCAACAGATCTTCATCTAAGAAAATTTGAAAGGACAAAGAAAGTGGTAAGAAAGTAAGTAAATTTAATGAAACGTTCATAGTACAAAATAACAGTGCCTCATTAAATTAAAAAATATATAAGTCAAGAGAAAAGGAAATGGAATAAATTATATAAAGGTCCTTATATTAGTTAACAGGAGGGCAAAAAGTTGACTTATACCTAAGTGAAGAACACATGTTGTCATTTCTAGTGCAGCCTTTAAAAAAATATAGTAACACAATGTATAACTTCCAAACTAGTGGAGAGAACAAAATGAAATAACAAAAAATACCTAAAAGAAGGTAAGAGAGAGAAAAAAAAGACCCAGCCACATGAATAAAATATTTTCATGGAGGGTGGAAGGATAGTAAGGAACTGAACCAGATACCTGATGTGTAAATGCCATTTTGAACTTTCCATTAAACTGTGACCCTGTTAACTGTTGTAGAGAACTTGTTTCTGAAAGTGGCCAACCCTAAGAGTCCCAGCTGGCCAACGAGGCCCAAGCAGGTTTGCCTGCTGGAGTTATGACAACAAGCTCTTGTCACACAGATTAGAGGGCAGAACCACACATCACTGCATCAATATGTACCACTCTCAGGTTACAGAGTAGGCAGATTCTGACTCACTCATACCTTAGTCTGAAATTGAGCAAAATAGCCACTTTTATTTCTGATGTGTGGCATCTGCTTATGGCCCCATGAAGACTAAGGTATAGGGATGATAAAAAAGATCCAGTCTCAGAAGAGACAGATTTTTCCAAACTGTTCCTAGGGTAGGCTCTGGAGATGGAAAGAATCAAAAATGAATTCCAGAAGTAGGAGCAATCATAGTTGACCAAAATTCTAAATCCAGAAGCAATACATAGAAAAGAGCAATACATTTAAATAAAACATGCATGGTAAAATACTTCATAAACAAAGCCAAAAGACAAATAAACCAAGAGAAAATATTTACAATTTATATAACAAACCAAAGGTTCATCTCCCTAAGAGATAAAAAAGCTCTTCTATTTAAGAAATATACCAAAAGGTTGATAGAATAATAGACAAACACACAAATAGCCCACAGAAAGAGAAAGGCAAATGGCTCTTACATGTCCGGAAAAAACAGTAAGCTGTACTTATAAAAGAAAGCGAATGAAAATGCACTGATATACCCTTTCCCACTTATGAAAATGGCAAAAATCGCCCGGCCAGGAGTGCCTCAGCGGTTGAGCGTCGACCTAGGATCCAGGCGATCAGGGTTCAATTCCCGGTCGGGGCACATGCCCGGGTTGTGGGCTCGATCAATGACTCTCTCATCATTGATGTTTCTATCTCTCTCTCTCTCTCTCTCTCTCTCTCCTTTCCTCTCTCTGAAATCAATAAAGATATATTTAAAAAAAAAGAAAATGGCAAAAATCTAAGAGCTTGACCACTCTGTTCGCAAAGCCAAGGGAAATTGGCACCTCATGCACTGTGGGATGAGTGCATAATGGTTCAACCCCATGAAGGGGAACCTGCATTGACCTTTTAGGACTCTAATCTGATGACCCACCTCCATGAATATGAATCAACACATACACCAAATCATCCTTCGTGGAGTTATAATAGCAAAAGCTCAAAAAGATCAAGGGCCAGGCCCACAACACTCAGACACAGAGAGTGCTGGGGACACTCAGTTACACAGCCAACAAACCTCTTTAATGTTTTAGCCAGTCTGAGGTTTTCTGTACACAGCAGAGCACACCCCAACTGATACACACAGTAAGTGACAAGTTCCCTAAACGCCACTTACCAGGTTTGCTTTGCCTTCACATCCTGAGGAGACACATATTTGGGTCTCCGACAAACCTTTCTGAATGTACCATAGACCAGGTTTCTCTGAATAAAGACTGAAAAATAAAAATAAATACATAAATAATCAAACACACACAGGATGGTAGTGTTTTATAAACAAATTAAATGGGTTAAAAAGCTAATCCAAACATATAAAGCCCAGAACCAGTCTGTTAAAAATAAGGCAGTTTTACCCATTTCAAATATTCATAAAGAAAATAGGAATCCTTAGGAGACTGGGTTTAATGAATATATGAATGATTAGTAATTCACATACCAATTATACATGAGTGCTTTTAAATTGTTCCTTCCAATCTTGTTTAAACTATTATTTTGCTTAGCAATTTTTCCCAGTTTGGATATAAAAAAGCTTCAGCCCAGCCTGAGACCAAATTATCACATCTTGAGCCAGTGGAATTTAGAGTTAATATAATAATTTTACTCTTACAATTTTTCTTTGTTAGAGTAAACTGACTCTATAGCAGTGCAGTACTTCTCAATCTTATAAAACCTGTACCGTCTTTAATAAACAAATTTCTTGTCCTACATCCATCCCTAAGATCCTCAGATTCATCCTGAGTGTGAAAGGGACACCACCCTTTGAGTTGAAAAACCATGAATGCCTCCTACAAGTTAGATTACATGTCCTCACCTACCAAGAAAACCCTGTCAAGTCTTACTTTCTGCACCTAGAGTATAAAAGTGATTTTTTTCACTTAAAAAGCATTTTAATATTAATTTGTATATATCTGTAACTTATCTTACTACATTTGAGATGTGTGTCCCCTATGCTACCTCCCAGATGGTCATCAAGATCAGGCACTCCTGGAGATTCCCCCATGTTCTAATGGGAGCCCACAATCCAGACCCTGCTACCACAACCCCTTCTGTTACCCACTGTTCAACTTCTCAATATTCTGCTAATTAGCACACAAATTTTATTGACCTATTCACTAACATTGTGATGAGTCTTAAATGGTGAAATTTAGAAGTTATTCAAGACATGGGGACTGGCTAAATATATGTGGCACTCAATCCCTATCCTTCCACAGACAGGGTAAAGTGAGGCCTTTTCCCTAATTTACCCTTAAAGAGGATACACGAGGTTAAATCCCTAAGCCTGCCCTGTCTATGGGGATTCTGTCTGACTGATGCCAGGTAACAAACACCAGAATCTTGGCATTTGCTTTGAGTGACTCCTTTATAACAAGAGTCCCTAAAATGGCAGCTGAGTTTCTTCCTCAATCCTAGAGAACAAGTCACTTGGCTTGTTGTGTGTTTCTTAAATGTACTTGCTTCCTAATAAATATTTAGTTAATAAATGTAAGTGGCAGATTTGGGTCTGAAACTTGCTTTCATTATACCTAGTAGTGAGGTTTTGAGGAGAGAAGTTAACTCATCTCAAGCTTCTTCTGTGGTTTCTGTTATCTATTAACAACAACAAAAAACTGTGTCTACCCAGGTGAGCTTGAGGCAGTCGATGGTGAACATGATTTTCCTGCAGTTTGCAGTCAACTGCATGCGTGTACTCTTCTTACCTACCCTCACCTGACTTTATATTCTGTTCCCTGAAGTGTGGCCTAGGTTGAGTGATCAAGATGGCATCTGACGCCCAGCTGGGTATGGCTCAGCGGTTGAGCGTCGACCCAGGATCCAGGCGATCAGGGTTCAATTCCCGGTCAGGGCACATGCCCAGGTTGCGGGCTCGATCCCCAGTCGGGGGCATGCAAGAGGCAGCCGATCAATGACTCTCTCATCATTGATGTTTCTATCTCTCTATCCCTCTCCTTTCCTCTCTATGAAATCAATAAAGATATATTTAAAAAAAAAAAAAA